AAAAATTGAAATGCTTGCTTGTATATTACTTACATTATTGAGTGGTTCTTGATGTTGAGGGACAGCAGCTCCTTCAACATCAGGAACATAAGGGGAAGGAACATAACCAGGTTCAGTTAAAACACAGACGAGAAAAGAGAAAAGACATAAAGAAGCCATAAAAGTGAAGATCATAGCATTCAAAGTCCCAGCTGAGCTCTGTAACCCAACCCAATCTTCAATAAATATAAAAACTGTTATGTAATAAACAAAACCCATCAACAGAAACACACTACAAACTGGAATCGACAAGAATCTCTTCCACTCCATAGAGAATTTCTGGGATCTTTTTTCTTTTTTTTTTCAAGAAGCAGAGGTTTTCTTGTCCGATTTTTGAAGTCAATCCGGTTTTTTCTGTACGTTTGTTGCTAGAGAGGAAGTTAGGTTGGTTATTTAAAGTGAGCTTTAAAGGAATACTAATTCTGGGCTTAACATGGCCACCATGCCCAAATATAGTGGGCTCTGGTTATATTCTGACTCAGGAAAGTGGTCTAGGCTTATTCTCACTACAGTTTTATGGGGTTGGGCCTCTTCAAATGAGGGAGTGGAAAAAGGTTGGATCGGGTCGGATTTTCACCACCTCTTGAAATTTGGCTTGGAGTTAGGTTTTTAATTTTCTAATGAAAAAATTGACATCTCAACATATATATATATATATATATATATATATATTGTTAATCATTTAAAGTTGGATATGGAATGAGTGGAGGTGGGAGTGCAAAACCTGTCTGCCAGTCTCTCGGCAGGTAGGTCAAGAATCAGAATTGAGATAGATATCAATAAATTAATATTTGATATTGTAGTAGTTTTTATGATTGTGATTTGAGAAATTACAATTAAAAAATTATAAATTATATATATATATATATTAAGATTTTAAAAAAAAGTTAGATTAATTAATTAAATATTTTAAAATTTACAGAAACAAACAATGGTTTCGGGCTACATTGCTATGATCTTCTATCTCTACCCGGTAACCATGATTTACCGAAGGTTAATAGCACTCTTACCTTGAGGGTAAATAGTACATTAGTGCAGTAAAGAGTATTCAATAATTTGTCACTCTCGAAGATCACAACGACTTTAGCATATATAGCAGCTTTACCAGCTAGGGTTTTCTTTGTGATCCATGCAACACGGCTCGGCTCTTTTTTTAACCCTACTCTTTAAATGGCATTTGAGGTTTGTCTTCCAGTAGCCAGGCAACATCTAGTGTAACATCAGTTAAAGGGAAATTATTATTATTATTATTATTATTTTCTCCAAAATTGAAACAACATAAAAGGAACAGGACGTGGAGACCATTCTGCTGGGGCTTGAGGCTACGTAACAAATCAACACAATTATCAAAGTTTAACCTTTTATACTGCCACCCTTCTTGTGGCCTCAAATTACACGTACAAAGCTGATTGTTACGATCGTTCAATTTCGGTATCATTTTGCATTTGCCATTATATATCTTGGGTAGGGAATCCTTCATGATCAAACCCCACATGGAAACAGATATCGTCATCATGCTCTGCCGCCGTGGGGACCGTTGATTTTCTTCATGCATATGGACCCAAGAGTCCAACATTGCTCCTTCCCTCCTGGCTAGCTACAAGATTTAATTGATTCTTAATGTGAAAATTAATGATCTATCCCAATACATACAACGATATGACAAAGTGGAACTCGATCACAAAACGTCTAAAATAATTAATTTTACCTGGTCATATATGGTGTATATATACAGTTCTTGGTAGATGTTCACACACTGAAACCAAGTCTTCGTTTTTTCTCTAATCAAATCTTATATCTACAGAATATACTATTGAGCTCGTCGACAATCCAAGATACACGAGCAGGAACAGAAACCATTTGCTAGCATGGCTGAGAATGTAGAAAGTAGGTCATCTTGCAGGCAATGTTAGATACAGCAATAAACCTTGACGTGTGAATGAATATGTTGGGAATTATGGTCATTAACAGCAAGGGCTAAAAGGTACAAAGGGCAGGGAAGCATTTCTTAATGTTGGTATAAAAGGCATGAAAAAGGGCTCTAAGAAAGCAGGGTCTAGCGAGCACTTATAAGATCGGTCCCCGTCGAACTGTGACTAGTCATGGTACCGTCAATAACTGCGTCGTACAAATATGCCGAGCATATCAATTTTTCCATGCCCCAAACTATAATTGGAGGGAGCTATGGGAGGATATTAGGCAGCTATGTGGCAGGCCTACGTTGATTTTCAAATTTTCTTGACTACAATTTAATTTGTTATAATTAAACATGGAATATAATTATAAGGTTATTGATTTGAGTCTTGAATCGCTGGCTTGGCTAGTTCTTCTTCGGTCCTTCTGCAAATCTCTCGTACTAGCCTTTTGCTATTTTCCCGATTTTCTCTTCTCTTCTCTTTTCCTAATATATTTTAGAGGCAAATCCCAAACATGACCCAAGAAAATATCAGCCTTTCGCTGTTTTCCAATTTTCTTTCTTTTGTTCCCCCATATTTGAAAGGGGGATTCCAAGCATGATCTAATAAGTCTTCTGAAATACATTCCCCTTTTTCTGATCACTCCCTTCTTTGAAGAGAAAATGAGAAACTATAATGGTTAAAGGTTTCAGTACTTAATAATTTAAAATTTTGAATTATATAATTAATTTTGTTAACAACAATTGGTATAAAAAATCAAATTAATGAATTGGTGCAGTGTAATATATATATATATATATATAGAGAGAGAGAGAGAGAGAGAGAGAACAAAACAAAATCATATAACGCAGTCAATTGACTGCTACATGGTAATCTTTGCCCTCCCTACTGTAGCTATCGCTTATTTTATACGACCTTTCTACTTAAAACATTCTCAATTTTTTTGATATTTTATCGAGCAAGTGTATTATATTTCACCAAACACAAAATATAGATTTTTTTTTTGTATGGGCAAGGCAGCTCTTTCATTCAATGGAAGAAGAATTTAGTACATCACAAATAGACTTCTTGAATTTAATTAATTCCCATGAAAGTTTTTCTTATCGAATATTCTTTCTAAAATCATTCCTCAATCTCCTGCATTGAATAATTGGATCCTAGCAGCGGATCCTTTATAATTCTGTCAATGGCTGAAATGTTTTGGAGAATGATTTCGGGGTGCATGTAGCATTAAATTAACAAGATTTTATTTCCAAAAAATCCACGACCACTCTTTTCATCTATTTCGCATGCATGTGTATAGGCATAAACATGGCTGTCTATGATTATATACCACTTTTCAATCACTTTGGCGCTTACAATTTGCGTTCATTGTTATTTTCAATACAAGCAATCGGCTTTCTTCTTCTTCTTTTTTTGTTTATTTTCATCATGTTTGTACACACACACATATATATATATATATATATAAACAATCAAGCAGCTGATAGTCCAGCCAAGCAAGGAGTTCTTAAAGACACTAATTTAATAGCATGGCAAAAACTTTTATTATCTTTTTTTTTTCTTATTGTCTTTAGATTTTTGTATTGTAAGTAAGTTTCCTGATTTTATAGATTAATTTTTTGTATTTTTTTCTCTGGTGTTTAATAGATCATTCCTCATTCATAAGAAAAAAATCGATATATGCATATCAATTAGGCTCCTTCAATCCTCGTATAATTCCATATCAAAGATCACTTTAATTACCAATGCGTACTTTAAGAATCAATGTATTAACTGCTGCAGAGGATATTTCAAATGAATTTATATGTATATTCGAAGAAAAGGTGAATCAATGCCATAGCAAATGAAAGGCAAAAAATGTGACTTAAATTTTCACTAGGAATATATATATAGCTGCGGAGTTAGGATTATTTGTTGGGGGCCAAAATTAATATAACAAGATATAATATTTTTTTTAATTTATTGTACATGAGTTGTAAAACAAAACTTGTATAATTTAACTTACTAAAACATATAATGACCTTTGTATAAGGTAAAAGGTTCGAACCAATACCAAATTGAGTTAAAGCAACAAAGTTAATTTCATCTTCATAACATATAAATCACTTCAATGTTGTTGGTCTTTATACTTATCAAATATAAACATACAAAGTATATAAGAAATATTAGCAAAAGCGAAGCATTATTTATGTTTGATAAACTTTGAAATAAAACAAAAAATAATAAAGAATAATTCTCACTAATCAACACGGGTTCTTTGTAAACTGAAGCGCATTGAAGTTGTTCACCATAACTTTGACATTATATATTCGAGTTGGTTCATTAAGCTGCGAGTTATTAATATTTTTTAAAAAAATCAAATTCTTCTTATTTCATTCATGGTTCAACCTAAAATCCAAACATATATCATGAGAAAAAATTGATAATTTTGATGGCTCTGTTAAAAACAAAACACAAAAAAAAAAAACCAAAAAAAAAAAATCCAAGTATAATCAAAACAAACCAATAAAATATATCTAATTAATTAGAAAAAAAATCACTATAACAAAAATTCAAAAAACAATTGGTAAAATTAGCAAATCTGAAAACAAATAAGGAAAAAATGATAGAATTATATAAAAAAACCTCATCAAATTATTAACAAACATCTCAAAATAAAACAAAAATAAATTTTAAATTTAAATTACCTTATTTCATTTGATGAAAGATAAATTAACTAATGGCTCTACTTCAATCTTTTCGTTGAAAAATTTTACTTAAGATTTATTTTTTATTTTTTATTTTTTATTTTTAACTTATTAAAGAATTTATTGTACAAAGTAATGATTTTATATTTACATAATTTATATTAGATGCTAATCAAACTAATTCAAAGAAAATCAAATTAAAAAATTACACTTAATTAATGTAAAAAAACTCACCTTTGGGGGGGCCCAGGCCCTGCTTGCCCCCTTCCTTCCGCCCCTGTATATGTGTGTGTCTATATATATATATTAAGCCCTTCCCATAGCTATATATGGAAAAGTGTAAGCACTGAAAGACTGACATGCACATCCAAAATTGCATTATGTTCAAATGCATTTTTACCAAGTTGATTTGCTATGATCGCATAGGTCACCATACTGTTGTTTCTTTCCCTACTCTGTGTACTCGTGGACCTTAACAAGAAAGAATGATTTGCTACTCTTTTCTTCACTTGTCAATTGACACAACAGCTTTTGTCTCTAATTGCCCCCACATGACTTGGCTTAAGATTCTTCTTCAGATCCAGGGACTGGTACCTGTGTAGACCACAGACACCGTAATGCCCTTTTAGGTCTCTCTAAGTCATATCCAACTGGAATTACACCTGTTGGCGCCAGAAAACAAACTTAGAGTAGCTAAGTAGTTTGCTTGCCTTTATAGCTGGTCCCGTTGAGGAAAAAATGTCAAGCACAAGTTCAGAACATTATGCAACTCCTAGAATTAAGGCGATTCTCTTTGTAGCAGTCCTGCAATATAATAAAATACTTGTATGCATATCATAATACAGATGATCATAAAATGTTTAAGCAAAAACCTGAATATCTCCAACCTAAACTGAGCCAAGTTGTAATCAATTCGTATTGCCATGAGCCCATGTTTACTCACGTGTAGAGTTTGAAAAATAATGCAAGTCACATATCAGAAGCATAATAATGATCTTTTATCTTGCTGAGTTACAGCTAGCTAAGGCTCTCTCTTGTTTTATTGTCTGTTTTGCTTGTGGGACATTCAGCCAGCTTAAGTCTGACTGTAAACATGTCCTTAACGGCTAGTGTGTGAATTGAATAATAATGTGCTCTTCCAAATTCTTCATGCACATTAAAACTCAATATATATTTCCTTACAGATTCCCTTTGGAAGGACTCCATAGATGAGAAGGTTGAATTCTATAGGAAATGACTGCAAGATACCCAAATCAAAAAGTATTTATGAAATAGTTCAGATTCGGACAAAAATAGAGGAAACAACAAAAGGATATATATGCGATATCAAAAAGAGATTTCTGTACTGCAGGCTGCTTGGACATGCATGTTCATGGTGAATAAAGCAAGTATACTATAACTAAGAGAATATTTCAAAGGCAAACTTATAGGTCATATCAATGCATTGTATTTGTTTTTTCCTTTGACTGATCCACAAGGAATAGTGGTAATCAAGGAGGGTACTCTAGAATCATGGAGGAAATCAAAGAGCAATTAATATTCATATGTATGGAGCAATGAATAGTTTGTTGATTGTAACAGTGATATGGAGATGCTAAAGAAGCTCCACCATGACTTGTAGCCAAGTTGCTCCATCAAGCTTGGATATGTATGTATGTCTGGAAACTGAAATTGGAAATTCTAAGCTCTTAATTAGATAATCATTAATTAATTAATTAGTTGAGTGACACAAAAACACAACTACAAAGAATTCATTAATCAAACAAGCATACACACCACTATTTCATATACTCTCCATCAAGCTCTAACTTCCTTTATGGCTTACCAAATTAATTAACAAAACCCTAAACTTCAAGAACCACGTTCGTCTTCAGAAATAACCTAGCTAATACATAAACACAAGCACAAAAGGGTTGTTTTTGAAAGCAGTACTATGATCATAACCAATATATATGACATGAAGGACTAATTTCGGCGTTCTTACATCTATATATATAGATGCTAGTTCCTGTACGTCTCACAGTGTGTTAACAATAAATGGGAATTCCAAATAGACTCATGTACAAGCCAAGATGGATCAATTATTTCATACATATGGTAGTGCTACTCCTTTAAGGCCATTGTACTAACATGAACCCCCCAAGTTATTAGCGAGGTACAAGTAATAAAAGCCAAACAAATATGGTAATTAAGGATTTGAGCAGCTTTACCTTGTTTCGAATCAGAAAATCTTAGATCCAACTATTTCAGGTGTGTGTATACAGTCATTTATGGCTGATGCAGCATCATCAAGATTCTCACCTTCAAAGAAATACATTGCTGTCTATCTATCTAGCTAGCTAGCTGCCGTACATCTGTTTGAGTGTGAATCTTGATGATGCTGCACCTGCAAACAATGACTTTTGATGTCGATCCATGTTCCATGCATATTGGATAGTGTAAGAGAACTAAAGTAAAAGCTAGAGAAAACTTGAAAACAAAGAGAGACGAAGAGACCAACAGAGCTCAGAGAGATCTAGCTGTCTTGTAAGTATACGTGGCAATTAACAAATGGTTTACAAGGTTCCCAACACGAAAGAGCCCTCAAGAGAGTATATATACCTCTAAGAAACCAGTAAGACCCAGAAATTTATGAGCGAAAAAAAATCACACAAAACCAACACCTCTGCTACTCTTTTTTTGTTGGTAATTCATGGTTTTGAGATTTCTTGATTTTTTTTAGATGTAGTTACAAGTGGGGAAAAAAAATTAAAGAACAACAAATTGAGAAACAGAAAAAAAAGAAGAGGTTTTCTTGATCAAAAATTTCTTTTTTAAAAAAAAGAAGTGGGAAATAACGAATAAAGAACCAGAAAAAATTGGAAATAAAATAACAAATAATCAGCAAAAAACTTGGAAATCAACAAGAACATTGCAACAAAAAAAGGTGAAAAGGAAAAGGAAAAAATATGACTCAAAATGAAGTTGAAGAAGTCATCATAAAACAAAGTGATAGATGTAGGGAGAGAAACAGATAGAGAGGTCAAGATCTAGCCCTGATTTAAATCACACGGAGAAAACGAAGGGAAGAAGGGAGGGAGGGAAGGAAGGAGAGGAGTAGTTGAGGACTGAGGAGAAGGGGTTTAGGTTCTTATACACTCCACGATTGGATTCTTAAATGAGTTCTACCGTGACGGGTGGGTGTATGGAACTTGTGTATTGTTTGCCCTTTATTTTCTTGGGTTTGTTTTACAAACAATAATAAATAAAAATAAAAAATAAAAAAGAGGTTTAATAAAAGTTGAAATAAATTATTGATATTCTTTCTATAGTAGCAAATAAAATATATTTTCCTATATATATGAAATTCATCATATACGATATGAATTTATAATTATTTGCTGATATTATTATTAAAAAAATTCATATGTAACCAAATACAAATAAAGAGATATGAAGTAATTAAAACTTGGAATTTTACAATTTCTAGAACTGGCGTTTAATTTTGAGATGAGTTACTCCTAAAAAAAATTGAAAGGAGTTTTATATGGATTTTTTTACCCATACAATATAATATATTTAGATCAATTTGTACATCAACAAAGATAAAAAAAAAAAAAATTTCTTTAGTAATTTTAAAAATATATTTATCACATAAATGTGTGATTTTAAAATTTCAATTTATAAAATTAGGAGATCAGAGGTAAATATATGTGTGGTGTGTGCATGTCTATATATGTGTGTGTGTGGTGTGTGCATGTCTATATATATAGAGAAAGAGAGACACGCACACACACACCACATACACATCATCAGGGAATTTAAACCCTACATTTCATTGTATAGAGGGCAGGCAAGCTTGGAAGTTGTGTCTATAAATAAGTCAAGTACCAGGATATAAGAAACAAGGGATGATCTTCAACAAAAAATTTAAGCAGGGAGAATCTATTTGAATTCTCATTCTAAAATGGCTTTCAACACATGAGTGGTTATGATTAAAACCTAAAAATTTATATATATATTAATTCTTTCTTTATATTTTAATCAAGTGTCAAATTTAAACTTTTATTTTCCCCTCAAACAAAAATCTGGACACTCACATAGCAAATGTGATAAGCTCGTTTATTCTAAGCTCGACGATATAGCAAGCAAGCTTGAGTTCAATCACATGTATACGAGGCTAGCTCAAAACTTAAAAGACCATAATAATATACTTAAAATCCATTAAGTAATTAAGTAATCTATCTTTATTTTATTTCATTAATAATGAAAATCGATTATATGTAAGTAAACACATAATATATTTAATATTTAATTGGTTATTTTAAATAAATTATCTACAAACATTTTTTTCTTTAGAGAAGAGATTTGTTGTAAGGAGATGATTTAAGATGTGTTTTTTATAAGTTGGTCCTTAAAGAAAATGAAGCAAATCTAAATGTTTTTTTAGCAACCCTATCACGTATAAAATAATAATCAACCTCTATATATTTAGTACAAGTATGAAAAATAGAATTGATGAATAAACAAATGGCACCCAAAGTATCACACCAAAGCAAAACAAATATTTGATCTCGTAAATATAAGATATTCAAGAGCACCAGTCATTTGACAAAATCGTGTAGGGTTAGAAAACATGTAATTGGGCACCATGACAAGTTTAGAGGCAAAATTAAGAGTATCGACTAGTTTTCATATACTTATCTTGTTAGAGTATGATACCTATACTAGTAGGGTGAAGCTCAACCCCAAGAAAAATAATGGGTAGCTTTTAAATCAAAGAACTTGAATTTTGAGTTCAAGAACTGGATTAAATGGTGAAACAAGACTAAATTGCTTCTAATAAGCACAATATCATTGACGTCAATAAGAAGATGAAATATACCAATATCAATAGACAAGATGAATAAATAGATATTAACCTTTGAAGCATGAAATCCAATAAATAAAAGATAATCACTTAATCGAGTGTACCATGTCCAAGGAGTTTGTTTCAACTCATACAAAGATTTACGTAGCAAACACATATGAGAAGAAAGAGTAAGACCAATAAAACTTGGAGGCTGCTGCATATATTCCTTTTCGTGAAGTGTCCTATTAAAAAAGACATTATGTATATTAAGTTGATTAATGTTCCAACTATTGGAAACCACAATAGTGAGAAGTAACTGAACATTAGTATGTTTTACCATATACAGGACTAAAAGTTTTAGAATAATTAATATCTTCTTACTAAATAAGACTTTTAGCAACCGACTTAGCCTTATAGCGATTAAGGCTACCATTTACACGACGCCTTATTTATACACCCAACAATTACCAACAACATTTATTGAAAAATAAAGGAAAACCAAAGACCAAATATCGCTTAAACTTAAAGTTTGAAGTTCAGGTTTCATAACATAATGTCATTCCTCATCCTTACCAACATTTAAAAAAGGAATAGGTCCATGTGCAAAAGGATTGATTACCCGAGAATGAGAGTTGATAGAAGATTCCAAAAAAGCTATCAAATATATTGTCTTGGGCTACCTGGAAACAAGGATCGTAGGATGATGAAGAGGATGGAGATCTAAACTCGAAAGTTGTTAAAATAACTACCCCAATGCTAATTACCTTGTTGCCAATTGCCATAGCTATACTTATTACAACCATACTAACCAAAACATATGTTGTTAATTTTTTGGTTGTTATCGTTGTTCTGTTAGCTACCATGAAATCTCCCCCTTCCACGGTAAGAATTGAAGTTGTTAAACTCGAAAGAGGATGGAGATCTAAACTCGAAAGTTGTTAAAATAACTACCCCAATGCTAATTACCTTGTTGCCAATTGCCATAGCTATACTTATTACAACCATACTAACCAAAACATATGTTGTTAATTTTTTGGTTGTTATCGTTGTTCTGTTAGCTACCATGAAATCTCCCCCTTCCACGGTAAGAATTGAAGTTGTTGTGAGATGAACCAAAGTGTTGGTGATGTGCAATAAAGGCCGATAGAAGTTAATTGAAGCTGTTATGAGATGAACCAAAATGTTGGTGATGTGCAATAAAGGCCGATGAAAGTTAAGCTATCATTCAATAGTAGAGGAACAGTAATAGCAACAGTCATGAAATAAAGGGAACTTTTATGAAGAAACTTATGAGTAAGAAGATGACTATGAAGATTTGCATATAAAAATGGTTCAACCTTTATAAATAGACTAGTTATAAGGTCTCTGAACTCACCTTGAAGCCACATAACACATATAAATTGAAATCTAGTAGTGAAAGAGGTCGATCAGCTAGTGATAATTCATCAAATAAAGCTTTCACTTTCTGCAAATATATGGTGAACGAATCATCACCCTTATAAAGATTTTGAAATGAATCATGAAGTTACATAATATGAGAGTTGAATGGAGAAGCAAGTGTTTACTCAAGAGTATGCCAAGCACAGTATGAGATTTGACAATCAATCACAAGATGCAGCATATCCAAAGAAAGAGAAAAAAGAAGTGCACTCAGAATAAGTTGGTGATATTGTTTTCAATGAAGAAAAGAGGGATTAGCCTGAAGAAAAGAGTCATTGGTAGCAGCCAGGTGGGAAAAAAGGACATAAAAAAAAACATTAACAAATTAAGAAACACCTTTTCCAAGTAGATACAATTTTATTTATATTTGCCAATAAAAATAATTAGTGTTCATGAGCTTTAAGGAGACAACATATTAATTGTTAGAAAGAGGAACAATTGTTATAAATGAAGAGTCTAAAGGAATATTAGGGGAGAAGATGCACTATTTAAAGTAGAGAAGGAGAGTGATGTCGCACCGCATATGGAGTTGTAGATGGCAAAGTCTATTTTGTAACATATAAGGGGGGAGGAAGGCTGCGTCTAGTTTATAACAGCAACAATGACAATAACATGAGGATCTATATGAAAAAAAAGATTTTAATGTGTTTTAAAATTCTAATACCAAGTTAAGAATAATATAAGACTTAACCAATTAGTTAACTAACATTTTTTATTTATACATGTAGGACAATGTATAATAATTAATGTAGAGATTACAACACACAATTAACCTATACATATAATAAATAAAATTACTATATAATATATATAGTAGAAAGTAGCACTTTTTGTAATAAAAGGGATGCAACCACAAAACATTTACTTTATCATGAACTGGAATGGAAATTATTGTCATATGTTGTAGCATGACTAGGTCAATTAAAATAATATTATTTTAAAAAATAAATTAAACAATAAAATTGAATTTTAACCTAGTTGCTTGGATTTTACTGATCAACTTCTACTCTGTAGTTTTGAAACCAACGGTACCATGATCAAATCTCGGGCAGGTTGGATTTTAATAACATTGATTCAAATTATGATAATGGACATAGCTTTTTTAAATAGGATAGAGTCTCTACTTTCTAGTTAATACTTGAAGCATTCATCTTTTAGCTGGAGCTACCAGACAAATTTGTCCCCAC